CTTGCCAGTACAGCAGCCCATTCATTTGAATGGACTGTTGCAATGGAAGTACCCTCCCCCCACCCAACGCTTTTTTTTTTTTTTATTATAAATATGATGCTGGGAAACAATATGGTTTTGCATGTGAAAAAATGTGATGCATAGGGTGCCAAGTATTATAGAAAATATATGCAGCACTAAGTTACAAAAAACAATGATCTATGAAAACATATAGACCGATGATAGTATTCATGCAAAAAGTCCAAATATCCTATTGGAAAGTCAGAGACCTGGGGCTAGAAAAAAAAATAGAGAGGTGGGGGGAGAGAGAGATGTGGGGGGGGGGGGAGAGATGTGGAGAGAGGGCGATGTAGAGGTAGAGAGGAGGGGGTGTGTGGGAAGAGGGAGAGGGAGAGATGTAGAGAGAGGGATATATAGATATGGGGTAGCACAGTGGCTAAATGGTTAGCACTTCCGCCTGGCAGTACTAGGGTCGCTGGTTCGAATCCCAACCACGGCACCACCTGCCTGGAGTTTGCATGTTTTCCCTGTGCCTGCGTGGGTTTCCTCCGGGTACTCCGGTTTCCTCCCACACTCCAAAGACATGCTGGTAGTTGAATTGGCTCCTGTCTAAATTGTCCCTAGTATGTGTATGTATGAATGTGAGTTAGGGACCTTAGATTGTACACCCCTTGAGGGTTAGGGGCCTTAGATTGTACACCCCTTGAGGGTTAGGGACTGATGTGAATGTACAATATATATGTAAAGCGCTGCGTAAATTGATGGCGCTATACAAGTACCTGAAATAAATGTGTGTACATGTACTTGTATAGCGCCATCAATTTACACAGCGCTTTACATATATATTGTACATTCACATCAGTCCCTAACCCTCAAGGGGCAATCTAAGGCCCCTAACCCTCAAGGGGTGTACAATCTAAGGTCCCTAACTCACATTCATACATACACATACTAGGGACAATTTAGATTGGAGCCAATTCACCTACCAGCATGTCTTTGGAGTGTGGGAGGAAACCGGAGTACCCGGAGGAAACTCATGCTGCAGCGGTAAGGGTGGTGGGTGTATACATGGCGTGAGCACAGTGCTTTGCATCCTGGTTGCAGGTGGAATTACCCCGGCGCCCTTAGCAGGCATAGGGTTGCACTGCAACTCAACACAAAATCCTATTGAGAGCAAAGTAGGTGTAAACACAGGAGCTAATGGAGATACTGCTACTACAGCGATTTCCATGGGGATCCCTCGGGTACGGCACATACTTGTATAGTCCCGGCTGAACAAATGTAACACTGAAAATATCTCTACCTGGCATTCAGCGTTCATCGCTTTCCGTCCATAGGACATACCCGAGCATCCTTGGATGATATCTCGGTCATTGCTGCATCAGGACCAAGGTCACCTTTTTTTAGTGCTGGCGGTTCTGTATCTTGTAAAAGTAATCCAAGCGACCAAAGAGCTGCTGGATTACTTTTATAGGTGGTGGAAGGGGTCCTCCCTACTCCCACCACCACCTTCACCAGGCTCCTGTATGATCAGTGTGCCCGTTAGGGATGCTTACTGATGTAAACGCACATGTGCCATATGTATGAAAGCAGAGACTTGTCGCAGTTGCGTCTCTCTTGTCCAATGTGGAGTGGCTGCATTAGTAACCACTAATTTATATACAGCTGTCACATGGCCCAGTTCTTTCCCAGCTGGTCTGCAGGGAAACAGTGGCAGGAGGAGCTTCTAGTCCTCTGCTGCTGGTCGCATGTTTTAAAAAAAAAAAAAAAAAGCCTTTAGGATAAAGAGTAAAAAGTTAAAATCAAACCGTTTTAGAGCAACATACAAATGTATATTTGAAATACAATTGTTAATTTTTTTTTTGGCGAATAATGTGGTGTGTGCAGATTTCTGCCAGTCACAGGCTGTCACGCCCCCTCCAGCCTGTGTCTTGGGATAACAGGACGGTGAAGCCTCCATCAATCAAGATGTAATATCTCACCCCCTTTGTGTTTGTTTGGACGTGGAGGGAGGGAGTGGGCTGTCATTTATCCCTGTACACTGCCCACATGTGACTCTATTTTATTTATTTCAGGTACTTGTATAGCGCTGTCCAAATTTGGACCACTTGTCGTTTTTCCTGTGTTAGCAGCTTTGTAGAAGACCTAAGATTCATGATAAAGCGATACTAAATGCTTGTCTAAAATAACATGTTGTACTTGCCTGCTCTGTGCAGTGCCAGTTCTCTTCTCTGGTCTCCCACTAGCCCTTCTGGCTCTTATGCCCCCCCCCCCCCTCACAGGCTGTGGTTGACAGCAATGGGAACCTGCTGTGTCTCGGCCAATGGGGCAGAGACCTGGGCCTCACATTAACCACTTCCTGTCCAGACACTTTTACCCCCTTCCAGTCCAGGCCAATTTTCAGCTTTCAGTGCTATCACACTTTGAATGACAATTGTGCGATCATGCAACATTGTACCCTTATGAATTTTTAGCATCTTTTTGAGACAGAAAGCTTTATTTTGGTGGTGTTCACCACTGGGATTTTTTTTTTTTTTTTGCTATGTAAATTAAAATGTCCAAAAATTTTGAAAGTGTTTTTTCTTATAAAATTTTGCAAATAGTATTTCATCGTAAATCTTGGCCAAAATGTATTCCGTTTTTATTAAAATAAATAACCCAAATTAGTTTATAACCAAAATTATAATTTTTAAACTTACTTTTTTTTTATATATATTTTTTTTACATATGGTCACCACCCTAGCAGTACAGTGTCACCATGGTAACACTGTACTACTTGTGGGGGGTGATGATTTTTTTTTTTTTTCCCCCCACACTGATTGCTTTTACACCCATAAAGGATGTAAAAGCAATCATTTCTCTTTCTCTCTAGCTGCATTTTTGCAGCCATTGAGAACTACTGAGTGAGCTGTGATTGGTCACGGCTTGTCACATGGTACAAGGCTGTTGTGAATAGCCCTGTACCATGTGACCTCTGTGATCATTCACAGATTTCACACGTAGTAAGCAATGATGTCACAAGTGACATCTTGCTTACTACTTTGCATGTGATCACTGATTGGCCAATCAGTGATCACATGATCGGGACCTCGTACAGAGGTCCCGTCCGACGATCGGTGTTCCACTGTGTCCGGAGGACACAGCGGGCACCGGATCACGGGGATGCGTGCTCCCAGGGAGCGCGCACAATCATGGTGCTGGGAGGCCATTTATAAACAGCCACCCGACTCTGCAGTGCCACCGTCTGGCTGTTTATATACCAGACGGGAGGTGGTTAAGAAAGCATGAGCAAGTGAATGCTGAAACTCCTGCGTTGGACGATGAGCTCCACAATGTCAGTAACCCCACATGGAGTACTTTTTGGGAATGCAAGGCATGCCGCCCTCAACAGACCAGGGAAATCCAAAGAAGCTGTGTGCAAAGAAACAGACGGCGCACTGGCCTAGTGCATTATTACCTTCTAAAAATGAGATTTATTGAATAAAAATTAGTATACTCACAAAGGAATAAAATCAAAGGCACATCACAAAAAAAAGACAGCATGTTCCAATCTCCCTAGATGGTGGCTGTTGGGGGACTGTAGGCCTCGCAATGGCTGATGCATTTCGTGGCAGAACCTCTTCCTCGGAGCCAAACTTTGGCTTTGATTTTATTCCTTTGTAAGTATACTACTTTTTATTCAATAAATCTCATTTTTAGAAGGTAATGCACTAGCCCGTGCGCCCTCTGTGTGTTTCTTTGCACGCAGCTTTTGTGCACATTGCTGGACCGAGATGGGGATCAGGTAAGTATTAGGGATCCGAACACTGAAGACTTTACCTTGCTGCTTAGAATGCATGAAGGTATCCTTCAGGACCACTTTAACCACTTCCAGTCCGGACACCCCCCCCCCCCCCCCCCCCCCTTCCTGCCCAGGCCAATTTTCAGCTTTCAGTGCTATCACACTTTGAATGACAATTGTGCGGTCATGCAACACCGTACCCATATGAATTTTTTAGCATTTTTTTTTTTTTTTAGACCGATAAAGCTTTTTTGGTGGTATTTATTTACCATTGGGATTTTTTTTTTTTTTTTTGCTATGTAAATTAAAAAGTCCAAAAATTTTGAGTGTTTTTTCTTATAAAATTTTGCACATAAATAGTATTTCATCATAGATCTTGGCCAAAATTTATTCCGTTATTTTTAGTAAAAAAAAATAACCCAAATTAGTTTATAACCAAAATTATAATTTTTAAACTTTTTTTTTTTACATACTGTCACCCTACCATGGTGACACTGTACTACTTGTGGGGGGTGATGATTTTTTTTTTATTTTTTTACAAGGATTGCTTTTACACCCATAATGAATGTAAAAGCAATCATTTCTCCTTCTCTCTAACTGCATTCTTGCAGCCATTGAACTACTGAGTGAGCTGTGATTGGTCACAGCTTGTCACATGGTACAAGGCTGTTGTGAATAGCCCTGTACCATGTGACCTCTGTGTGTGATCATTCACAGATTTCACACGTAGTAAGCAATGATGTCACAAGTGACATCTTGCTTACTACTTTGCATGTGATCACTGATCGGTGTTCCACTGTGTCCGGAGGACACAGCGGGCACAGGATCGCGGTGCTGCGCGCGCTCCCAGGGAGCGTGCACAAGCAGGTGGCGGGGAGGCCTTTTATAAAGGGCCACCCGACCCTGCACTGCCACCATCTGGCCGTTTATATACAACGGCTGGACGGGAGGTGGTTAAGGTCCTGTTCTCACCACAGCCTTCATTATCATTGGTGTGCAGTTCATTGTGAATGGCACATCACCAAAACACATTTGCTGTAACCTAGTTGGGTTGCCAGTAGCAAGACTGTTGGCTGCAAGTCTTCTGAATGAGCAGCCACGTGTTCCCAGTACAGTTCTCTGTAGGTGTGATTCATCATGTACAGATTCTGCTCCTCCTACATGAATGACTTTCAGTTATAAGACCTCAAACTAATGCATTGTCTCATTACTTTTTCCTAGAACTTTGTAGCCAAGTTGGCCAATGGAATGAGCCTGTCGACTGCAGTGGAAGATGTAAATATCCTTTATACACTGATGATTAAAGGGAACCTGCCACTGTTAATATTAAAGCAGTACTACAGGTAGACAAATACAGTTGAAATACATGTGTGTGAACGTTTACCTGCCAAAGGATTTATCTCTTCATACCATCCTCTGCTCTTCATATGCCTGTCACATAGCATAACCAGGAAGACAGCACCCTGCGTCGCCTTTCGCCGTATTGGGCAGTATGCTGATGAAGAATCCAATAAGTAAGCTACAGTTGGAGAGCTTACAGTCTACTGCAAGTTTGTGTCCTACCTGGCTGTGCGAATGTGGCAGAGAAGTGTGAATCACAAAACGGAACAGAACCAATCTGTTGACAAGTAAAGTACTGTTTGCTTGGAGGTCTGCTTTAATATTGTCAGTGGGACAAATGGGTGTCTGCATGTAAATTTTTGTCCTGATGAAAATAATCCTGGAACCACATTGCAGATCTTGGGCCAGAGCTTACACATGCTGCCCTACACCAGTATCCTCTTAATGCAATGTGCAAGCTTCTGTAGGTGGTGAAAGCTTTCACAGTGCGTTGTGGGGGTGTTGAAACTTTGAGTCCCACTCAAGATTTGCAAAATACCCCTGCTTGGGTTGGGAGCACCTGGGGTCCACAGACTACTTTCTTCAGGATCAGATGCTACACTTCAAATTGCGCCACAGAATGTCAGCAGCGACAGGTTCCCTTTAAAGTATTGGCCAACTTGGCTATGAAATATATGCATTATATGCATCTACCTGACTGTGTGTAAAGTAACGAGACTGCAGAAAAAAATAGTGAGTCTTCCTCATAGGAATTGTAGACCATTTTTATTATCTAAGGGGCTGAATATTCTTAATTAAGGGAGTTGAAATCTTCTCTCATAGCTTGTTTGTCTTCAGCTGAATTTTTAGGTGGTTAGAGGATCTTCGCCCTGTAAACAATATTTTAAGTCCAACTGAATTTTTAGGTGATTAGAGGATCTTTGCCCTTTTAAACAATATTTTAAGTCCTCAAAATATTGTTTACAGGGCGAAGATCCTCTAATCGCCTAAAAATTCAGTTAAGTCCTCAGCTGAATTTCTAGGTGGTTAGAGGATTTTTGCCCTTTAAACAATATTTTAAGTCCTCAGCTGAATTTCTAGGTGGTTAGAGGATCTTTGCCCTTTAAACAATATTTTAAGTCCTCCACTACAAATACTGTAGCTGGTGACTTAAAAAAAAAAAAACATTTACCTGACCCAGTGATGTCCTCACTTGACTCGGCTATTTGCCGGCTCTTGGGTCCAGGCTCTGGCATCTTAACTATGGGCAGCCAGCTATGACTGCTTGCAGCTTCACAGGCGGCTGCCCACTGCATGTGTGAGCCGCTCTGTGCCCCGTAAATGGTCCTGCAGTCTCCTTGGGCCTGTGACGTGTCCTGAGAGGCTGCAGGGAGAGGTGGTGGGCAAGCATCCGATCACCTAGGCAGAGTCAAAATCAGGTACCTGCTCCCCTAAAAGTCATTCCAAATATGGGAGAGGGAGGAGAAAGTGGGAATGTCCCTTTTGGGTGAAGTTCCCCTTTAAAGTGTTAAGCCAAAAAGTTAAAAAAAAAATAAATATATATATTTTGGCTAGTGGTTGATTAGAACTTCTGTTGGGTTTTTACTGTGGAACTGATGTTTCCCCTCACTTCTGTCTTGACAATGGTTACACCAGACAGGAAATGAAGAAATATCTGCAAAGGGGAGAAAAATAAAAATGAGGTTCCAAGTTTTTCCCTCAAATACAAGCATTTTATATGCGGGTGTTGCAGATCTTTCCCTCACTTACTGTCTGTTTAAACGATTGCAGGACATGAAGCTAGGATACATTTCTAACACTGCTCTACATAGCAGTAAAAACCTGACCAGTGTTCTAATTCTTCCCAAATCTATGAAAGGGTTAAGTTTTGGCTGGGTGTACACTTTAACGTTGGCTTATGATTCTTCGTAAAATGGGTAATACTTCAGGTGTTGTGCATGAATAGCTTAAGATAATGGGGTCATATTTAACTTTGGAGCGGTCAGCACAGTCTAGTTCTTTCCATTTGGCCGAATCCAATGCAGTGTAAAATGCCTACAAATGGGATTTGCAGACTGCAGGTTCTGGATCTTTCCTGGGAATGGCATGGTTGTCCCGGTGATCCGAGTTGTGCCGATCTGGAGTTTTGGATCAGTGTCTTGACGTTGGACAGCTAAGCAACTAGCCTTTTCAGGATATTCACACCGCTGCTCAAGGTGGAGACTCCCAACCTCCAAGCACAACTCTTCCTCCTGTAGGTGCCAGGTCAGTTCATGTGCTACATAGATGAGAACAAAGGAAGTCCGATCGGCTGCATTCCAAACAAACCACTTTACTGAACCCGGATAAAACCAATGCAGACGGTAAACGCATTTCAAGCTAGACAGCACTTATTTATTGGTGGTAATGAACAAGTGCTGTCTAGTGTGAAACGTGTTTACCTGCCTGCCTGTATTTCCAGTGTCTGTATTGGTTTTATCCTGGTTCAGTAAAGTGGATTGCTTGGAGTGCGGCCGATTGGACTTTATTCTCACCTAGCCTTTTCAGGAGGCGATTATGATAGGCCTTCATTCTTCAGTACAGGTTCCCTTGTGCCTTTATCCCTAACAATGGGGCATTGATTCCGAACTATTGGGGAAATAATCTAGGCAGTTACACATGTACATGGACCAATGTAACTAATCTAAAATTGTCCATGCTTCGAATTCTTCTTTAAGGTCTGAGAACATGGGATCTTAGGGAGGCAAATTTGTTTCCTGGAAAGAAAACCTTTGCCTATGATTATTATACAGGATTTATATAGCGCCAACCGTTTGCTCAGCGCTTTACAATATAACGGGAGACAATACAGTTCACTATAAGAGGGAAAGGAGGGCCCTGATCCTTGGAGCTTACAATCCAGGACATCCCTATTGGTGATCATTCACCAGCTCTGCAGAGAAACTCTGAATCCAGATTATAAATGCAGCATACCTAGAATATTTGACACCCAGACTGGATTATTTTACAACACGCTGTATACACTAATGAAAAATGGTGGCCAGAAAAACACTGTTAGTAGCAACATACCCTTACACTAGTCTGTGGAATAGTCCCCTTGCATTGGGGGTTCATGGAGAAATGCCTTTGGTGGTCTGTGGGGAAAAAAGCCTCCAGGCACTGGTGGTGGTCTGTGTAGAAGTGACCCCCTATATTGCATGTCAGTGGGAAATTGCCACCTTTAGTTGATAGTCATTACAGGTTAGAGATCAGTCTGTCGTTGCTCACAGCTCAAAGAACCCCTAGCAACCTCCGGAGGCATCCTGGCTGAGAAGGCTTGCTGTAGACCATGAATTGTCTGAAAATCTGGTGAGAAGTCAGTGAGGCATTGAGCAAGAGGATGCCAGCCCTGTTTCTTGTACCTAGAAATACAAACCAGGTTCCATTATATTGCAGCATCTTTAAATGGCATACGTATGGCCTCGGTCTGAGCAGTATTGACCTACACATTCAAGCAGTCTTGCTCATTTATAAGCAATATTTTGAATTGCTACTTGTGTTCATTTTGAAATACATGGATGTCAATCATTTTTTCTTGCTGTTTTTCTAGGTTTCCTGTACCCAACCAGAGAGCAGCGTCAAACCATCAGCAGAAGAGATGACTTCCAAGGACTACTACTTTGATTCCTATGCGCACTTTGGTATCCATGAGGTAAGTATCAGCTCTTTATAGCGATTAGTTCTTGTTGATGGTTAGCAGATCTTTACATCATTGTTAGGCCTTGTTGGTGATTAGCAGAGAATTGCTGAACAATTTTATCTTTTTTTGCAGGAAATGTTGAAGGATGAAGTTCGGACGCTGACTTACCGAAACTCAATGTTTCACAACAGACACTTGTTCAAGGACAAAGTTGTTTTGGATGTAGGAAGTGGGACAGGAATCCTCTGCATGTTTGCAGCTAAGGCTGGGGCAAAAAAAGTAATTGGGGTAAGGACAGTTCAAATAAATAAAAATTGAAGCTTTCTGACCAATGCAAGTTTACTGACAATGGGTTGGAATGTATGGGCTAGCCTTGCTTATCTTGGGGAATGTTGGTGGTCAGGATGGGATTTATAAATTTGTCCAAAGGTGCTGCCCTGTTTGCAGGTACTCGCTCATCTCAAATAGGTACTCTGGGAATAGACTGTAAACTGTGAGGTGTTCGTTCCATGCCTGCCTAAGAAATATGGCCACGTTTCAGTGTAGTCTATAGTAGAGAATTGACTTGGCGCTTTAAATTGGTTTGCTGACCTCTGATGGATGTAAACTGTACAAAAAGTCCTGGACTCTCCTCAAGAAGTGTTTTTGACATGATAGGCAGATCAGAATTTATCCTGATCTGCCTAAAACCCTTTAGAGGGGTAGTAGGGTGTAAACAGGAGTACCAAACCGAAGCATTTCAGGCAACTTATAAAGTCAAAATCTCAGAAAACTCAAAGGAAAACACCTTGTATCTTAATTATTGCCGTTAGCTGTTGATAAATAGAATAAAACAAAATACTCACTGAGCGGTTAGTAGTAGCAGCTAAAAGCACAAAAAGGCAACCAGAATAAAACCTCCATAAAATACTGTAAAAAGTGCAGCGCTAAAGATAAAAACTAATAAATGATATCAATACATAGGGTAAGCTGAATGGTTAATCCCAGTAAAGCCAATATATAAAAGGGTGACAGTCTGTGATACGTGATGGATACAAGAGATATAGGTGACTGTACGTTCCAGGTGTCGAGGTGATAGAATGGTTAAAGTACGCACTCACCAGATGCGTATCTTTATATACGCATATAATCAATATCCAGAGCTCCCCCTCATGGGATGGGATGGATGAGCTAGACTAGAAGAATACACCAGGTCCAGTATGATTCAGCTAAGCTGTGTATCAACCAGACCAATACCAAGAGGGGGAGAGTCCTAGAGAGATAGAGATATATATATATAGATATATATATATATATATATATATATATATATATATATATATATATATATATATATATATATATATATATATATATATATATATATATATATATGGAGAGAGGTTTTTATCTTTAGCGCAGCACTTTTTTTACAACGGTTGATAAATGCCTGAAGCCACCATGAGGAAGTTTGACATAACCCCTGGTCCTTATACAGTATACTAAAGGGTTCAGGTCCCGACATGGTTGGATTGCTTGGGCTAGGCCGTTAGAAGGATTTTTTAAATAACCTGTATTTGGAAATGTGTAAGTCCCCGTTCTCCTGTAGATTTGTGATCTTGTGCAAAGTCACAAGTTTCTGCCCGAGATCCCAATTCGTTCTGCGGTAATGACAAAAGGCCCCAGACTGTGTGGGTGCCATTCATTTTCAATGGAACCTAAACGTGGTGTGGGATTGCCGTGCAGTAAATCGCGCAGAAAACTTCAATGAGAGAAGCTCTTGCCCAAATAAAGCTCCTGCTCCTTTTTGGGCAACAAGCTTTGCGCATTGTGATTTCTTTTATGGCATAACCACAGCGTTTAGATGACATTGAAAATTATTGGCACCCGAACAGATGTGAATTTTTGCCATTGCTTTTTGGGATATTGGGCAGAATCGCAGCAATTTTGCTTGAGGATAATACGCCAGATGTGAAAGGGGTGTTGGTTACCTTGCTTTCTTTAGCCTCTGCTTAAGTTGCTGTTCATGCCCCATGCCCTCTGACAGTATACAATGGTTCTGAAAGCTTACTAGTACTAGTACTTCAATGGTACTGAAAGCTTTATGTCCAGCAAATCAGTTTTGGGGTCTTGCTAGTAAATGTGAACCCAGAAGTGCTTAAACTGCACACCCCTTGGTTCAAACTGTGCTGCTGGGTTCAAGCTGTTCCAGGTAGGCAGGTGAATGAGTCCTCCAATCTCTCCCTTCTCACATCTATCTGGAAGCAACAGTAATGCAAGGGAGGTTTAATGAATGGGTCGCCAGACCTTCTGAACAACGTCCTTGTTCACTTCAGAGTTTAAGGGGGCTGGACTGTTGCTATTGGAAGTATAAAAGGTTCCAACATCTTTAAAGGAAACCATGGCCCATCATTTGACTCAGTGGCAAGAATTGTGCTCCATCATTGGTATCAGTGGGAGGAATAGTGCCCCATCATTGGTATCAGTGGGAGGATCCCCATCATTGGTATCAGTGGGAGGAATAGTGCCCCATCATTGGTATCAGTGGGAGGAATATGCCCCATCATTGGTGTCAGTGGAGGAATAGTGCCCCATCATTGGTGCAGTGGGAGGAATAGTGCCCCATCATTGGTATCAGTGGGAGGAATAGTGCCCCATCATTGTATCAGTGGGAGGAATAGTGCCCCATCATTGGTATCAGTGGAGGAATAGTGCCCCATCATTGGTATTAGTGGGAGGTATAGTGCCCCATCATTGGTGTCAGTGGGAGGAATAGTGCCCCATCATTGGTATTAGTGGGAGGAATAGTGCCCCATCATTGGTATCAGTGGGAGGAATTGTGCCCCGTCGTTGGGGTCGGGGGGAGGAATTGTGCCGGGTCGGGGGGAGGAATCATTTGGGGTCGGGGGGAGTTGTGCCGGGTCGGGGGGAGGAATTGTGCCCCGTCGTTGGGGTCGGGGAAATTGTGCCCCCGTCGTTGGGGTCGGGGGGAGGAATTGTGCCCGTCGTTGGGGTCGGGGGAGGAATTGTGCCCCGTCGTTGGGTCGGGGGGGAGGAATTGTGCCCCGTCGTTGGGGTCGGGGGGAGGAATTGTGCCCCGTCCGGGGGGAGGAATTGTGCCCCGTCGTGGGGTCGGGGGAGGAATTGTGCCCCGTCGTTGGGGTCGGGGGGAGGAATTGTGCCCCGTCGTTGGGGTCGGGGGGAGGAATTGTGCCCCGTCGTTGGGGTCGGGGGGAGGAATTGTGCCCCGTCGTTGGGGGAGGAATTGTGCCCCGTCGTTGGGGGGAATTGTGCCCCCGTCGTTGGGGGAGGAATTGTGCCCCGTCGTTGGGGGAGGAATTGTGCCCCGTCGTTGGGGGAGGAATTGTGCCCCGTCGTTGGGGGAGGAATTGGCCCCGTCGTTGGGGGAGGAATTGTGCCCCGTCGTTGGGGGAGGAATTGTGCCCCGTCGTCGTGGGGAGGAATTGTGCCCCGTCGTTGGGGGAGGAATTGTGCCCCGTCGTTGGGGGAGGAATTGTGCCCCGTCGTTGGGGGAGGAATTGTGCCCCGTCGTTGGGGGAGGAATTGTGCCCCGTCGTTGGGGGAGGAATTGTGCCCCGTCGTTGGGGGAGGAATTGTGCCCCGTCGTTGGGGGAGGAATTGTGCCCCGTCGTTGGGGGAGGAATTGTGCCCCGTCGTTGGGGGAGGAATTGTGCCCCGTCGTTGGGGGGAATTGTGCCCCGTCGTTGGGGGAGGAATTGTGCCCCGTCGTTGGGGGAGGAATTGTGCCCCGTCGTTGGGGGAGGAATTGTGCCCCGTCGTTGGGTCGTTGGGGAATTGTGCCCCGTCGTTGGGGGAGGAATTGTGCCCCGTCGTTGGGGGGGGAGGAATTGTGCCCCGTCGTTGGGGGAGGAATTGTGCCCCGTCGTTGGGGGAATTGGAATTGTGCCCCGTCGTTGGGGGGAAATTGTGCCCCGTCGTTGGGGGAGGAATTGTGCCCCGTCGTTGGGGGGGAGGAATTGTGCCCCGTCGTTGGGGGAGGAATTGTGCCCCGTCGTCGTTGGGGGAATTGTGCCCCGTCGTTGGGGAGGAATTGTGCCCCGTCGTTGGGGGAGGAATTGTGCCCCGTCGTTGGGGAGGAATTGTGCCCCGTCGTTGGGGAGGAATTGTGCCCCGTCGTTGGGGTCGGGGGGAGGAATTGTGCCCCGTCGTTGGGGTCGGGGGGAGGAATTGTGCCCCGTCGTTGGTCGGGGGGAGGAATTGTGCCCCGTCGTTGGGGGGGGTTTTTTTTTTTTTTTTTTTTTTTTTTTTTCTTTGATACTGTAAAAGTTTTTATGTTAAAGCAGTTTAATCCTGAACTCCTTTTAAATCTCGAGTACGGGCTCTTGCAAAGAACTGAATCCATGAAGTTTGCCTTCAGTGCTACATGCTTAAGTTCTGTAGATCTAAGTCACTTAACTGTTACTCATTGTGCCTTTTTGGGGTTTTTAAGCTTTATTTTTATTTTTTCAGATTGAGTGCTCAAGTATTTCAGACTACGCCATCAAAATTGTGAAGGCAAACAAACTAGATCACGGTATGTTCTATACTTGTAAGGCTTAATTCAGGAGCTCTTGTCTGTATGTAATCTTACATGGTGTTGCTTTTTCACAGTTGTAACAATCATCAAAGGCAAGGTAGAGGAGGTGGAACTGCCTGTTGAAAAAGTTGACATAATAATCAGTGAATGGATGGGATATTGTCTGTTCTATGAATCAATGCTCAACACTGTTATTTATGCACGGGACAAATGGCTGGTAAGCATCTAAAACATACTTCATGATGTGCTTGTGTAATGTTTCTCCTTGTAATTTGTGGGCTTTGTTGGAATTTATGTTGAACGTTCATGTCTGACAGCCTTGGATTAAAGCCATTAATTGTACGTAGTTGAAAATGTAAATGTTTAAAATGAAATCCTGATCAGTGCTTTACCAGTTTAGCATGGCTTCCTAGGTCATTTCACTGGGCATGTGATTCACTGTCTGAGGCTGCGAATGGTCAGGGGAAGCTGAAGTGCTAAACTAGGCAGATTTATTTCTAAATTACATTCTGCACGTAGGAAATTGTTAATCTGACTTTTTAAATTTGTAAACTGTTCCTATGTGGGCTAATCGCTTTTTTTTTTTTTTTTTTTTTTTTTTCCCACTTTCATTTATAGACACCTGATGGGCTTATATTTCCTGATCGTGCAACACTTTATGTGACTGCTATAGAAGATAGGCAGTACAAAGACTACAAGATTCACTGTAAGTACAAGACTTGCATCTTGCAGCACTTTCATTCAAAAATACCGTCTCAGTTTTATTTTTTACAAGTAATTATATAGCACAGTCTATTTAAACAGCACTTTACATATATATCATACATCAGTTCCTAACCCTTGAGGGGTTTGGACAATCTTTATATAGATAGATATATCTATATATATAGATATATCTATATATAGATAGATATATCTATAGATAGATAGATAGATAGATAGATATATCTATATTAGATATAGATATCTCCATAGATTGTACACCCCTTAAGGGTTAGGAACTGATGTATGTATGATAGATATACACACACCAATTTAGAGCGGGTCCAGGTAACCTACCAAGCATGTCTTTGGAGTGTGGGAGGAGACCTGCACAGGGAGAACATGCAAACTCCAGGCAGGTGCTGCCTTGGCTGGGAATTCGAATCAAGGACCCTAGTACTCCTGCAAAGCAGAAGTGCTAACCATTTAGCCACTGTGCTGCGCTATGAAGCAGACAAATGTGCAGCACGATCCTGTTTGATTCACATGGTGTGATTGACACCCTCTGCAGATTGCAACTGCAGTGGTTTGAGCGTAGTACGGAAAATGTGTGCTGATCAATTTTGTTTCCCGCACCTACTTTTTTTTTTTTTTTTCTCTAAACACTTATACTTGCCTACTGTGTAATGGTTTTGCACAGAGCAGCCCTTTACCTCCCCTTTTCTGGTCCCCTGCCAGCACTCCTGGCCTCTCTGCCCTGTTGAGTGCCCTCATGGCAAGCAGCTTGCTCTGGGGGCGCTCATGCATGCTTGCTCCCGAGCCACCTGTCTGTGACAGTGTGGCTCAACCCTGCTCCCTCACTGGTTGTGATTGACAGCAGTGGGAGCCAATGAGGCGGCAAAAACCTGGGACAGCTTTTTGCTCTACTGCACGTTGCTGGATTGGGATCGGTCTCAGGTGAGTATTAGGGGGCTGAGAAGGGGAGGTGAATGCATGAAGGGAAAAACTTCAGTCTTGGAACCATTTTAAAGATGCTCCTGGAAAATGTAGCCTAGTTTCTTTTGTACCGTGACCTTGGTTTGAGATCCATCACATTGGAGAACTTTGCTAAAACTAGCATTCATAAGACTTTGCAGTTTTGTCCTGATGTTACGATGCTCTGTGCCTCATTTCTTTTCCAGTTGTCTTTTGCAAACAAAAAAAAAAAACTTCCAGACTTGGAGCCAAATATGAGAATCCTTAGACCTAAAGCACAAAGTTTATACAGCACCAGACATGTAAACATTTGCAGCTAGGGAGATGTTGGGGCCGGTACTCTTGAATTTTGTGGTAGGGCATTGCTGACAGCGTGGAGCCTTTTCTGCCCTTTTAATACAATGATCAGTGCTGCTGGCTATGGCTGGGGGAGTTGATCATTCAGCAGATAAACTCGACGGGCTGCTTGTAAGTTCATCGATTTACTTTGGGCAGACAGTCTGCCCATACATGGCTCGAAATTCAGCCAGTCCCTACTGAACCAGTTGCATTTTGATCATATATGGGGCTTTTAAATTGATATGTGGCTATGGGATTGTTTATCTAGAGTTACATGTGACTTTATTAACCTGCTCATGGAACTTGGTAAAACCAAATAAAATATTAAATGAATAGTTGTTTTCTGCAGTCAAGTGATATAAGACTTTGCCATCTTATTATTATACAGTACTTGTATAGCGCCAACAGTTTGCTCAGCGCTGTACATTACAATGGGAGACAATACATGACAGTACAATGAAATACACGAGGTGTTCGAGGGCCCTGCTCCTTACAAATCTAGGAGGGAAGGGAGAGTGGTACAGGAGGAAATGACTGTGGGGGGATGGAGTGGTGGGGAGAGCGGAGATCAGCAGTTAGGTGAGGGTAGGCTTCTCTGAAGAGGTGGGGTTTTTTTTAGGGTGTCCCTAAAGGTGAGGAGGGTAGGTGACAGTCTGATGGATTGGGGTAGTGAGTTCCAGAGGATGGGGGAAGTCCTGGAGATGGGCATGGGAGGAGACCAGGGAACTGGAGATTACTTTAATGTGTGCACACAGCCCAGCCATGGTGCCCTTAAAGGAAAAGTATAGCCAAAGCTCTTTTGACTATACTTCTCCTATGGATCACAACCGCAGTTTGTTCTGCACTCCTGTAACCAATTTTCAGCCGACATTGGGCTAATGTCACTCAGCTGGTCCAGGCTCAGGAAAGTCCAATTTTAGGCTAGGTTCACATCTGTGTGGATCCGCATGAAAATCTGTGCACCCGCACAGAGAAGCGCGGACCCGCGTGGGCGGGTGCCATTAGTTCTAATGGCCTGCACTGGAAAACTCAACTGTGCTGGGAACCGAGGTTCCCATGGCTGCTGCGTTTCTGGAAGAAGTGCAGGGACTTCTTCCCTGCGTGTCACGGGGCACGAGAGTCTATTCAAATGAATGGGCTCTCGTGCCCGTGCAAAATGCGGCCCTCACGGTAGCATGTGTGACCTGGGGCTTACGGCCAGGATCCAAACAGTTGCGTGGGCCAGCTGCTTGTACCCCCTCTACAACCCTGTGCTCCAGAGAGCTGGAGGTACAGAGCAGAGGGCCAGTGACTTGCCAGTCGTCATAGCTCTCTGCTCAGATGGGAGAACTTGACCCTGAGCAGTGCCGCTGGGATCTGTGCTGTGCCATCTAGGGGAGTATGATTTCTGTGTTCCTGCACTTTTAAAGATGGATTCCCTCAATTATTGGCTGCTGCTGCTTTTCATAAAATGAATGCTATGTAATCTTTAATCTTGGTTACTTAAGTAATGTCCTCTTCCAGGGTGGGAGAATGTCTATGGATTTGACATGTCGTGTATCAAGGATGTAGCCATCAAAGAACCTCTTGTCGATGTGGTTGATCCCAAACAACTAGTCACAAACTCCTGTCTCATCAAGGTATGCCTGTTTGTAATCTTGACTCTTTCCCTTTGTCTGCCCTTTTGTTGTTGCACTTGGAACAACCTGTTTATATGTTGCAAGTGTCCAGTGCCTTTTGGCATTGTGGATGGATCCAATTCTGCCCTCCAAAAACCATTTTAATTGGGCCATAATTTGTCTGACAACCTATTTGAGTGACTTTAGTTTCACGGCAACCATAAGTTGCATCTTCATTGACTGCTGTAGTGAAGTTTATTCTTCAGGATTTTTTTCTTGACAGGTTATGTACTTCACAAATTGACTTGATTTGAAAACATTGATTTTTGTTTGTTTAATCTTCATAGGAAGTGGATATTTACACCGTTAAGGTTGATGACCTGAGCTTCACTTCTCCATTCTGCCTCCAAGTAAAGCGAAATGATTACATCCATGCCCTGGTGGCTTATTTCAACATAGAGTTCACACGCTGCCATAAGAGAACAGGCTTCTCTACAAGTAAGAAATTGTGCCCTCTCACTGAAGTCCTACCTCTGAGGATAACAGGATAAATGTCAGGGTGACACAAAGTAAAACAATCCTAATTGCCTTTAGTCACTCAGGTACAGAGGATACACCTTGGCTGCCGAGTGTTGAAACCATTAGACTGCAGCTTCTGTCAGTGTATTGGCTGCGGTTTCATGGATAGTCTGCCTAGAAGGAAATCTGATACAAATCGACATGACTTGTGCCAGGCATGCTTCTCCCGCATCACTTTGTACCGTGCTGGAAGCACAATCTTCCAAGAAGCTGGTCCAGAGTTCTGTGGGGGCAGACTTTCCGTTTTCAGAACCCCGTCTTAGATCATTTGAGGGAATGTGAACCTGTCACAGGTTGGGGGGACGGGACTGTATAATATGAGAAATTCATGAGGTTCGCTTTACTAAAAAACTGCATAGAAAAGCTAGCAGGTTAAGATTTGCATACAGTTGGCTTCCTAGATTTTAACACAGCCTTTCTCCCTGAAGGGGAGCCTTCAGGCCTTTCCAGGGGTGCCTTGGCAAAATGGTTAAAAAACTGCCCTAAAATTGTATACAAGCCAGTAGGTGGATCAAGCCTGCCTTTTAGTTGCATAAAGCCATATTATTTTTCAGTATTTATAAAGCGCCGATAGTTCGCTCAGCGCTGTACATTACAAAGGGGGACAGAACATGTGACAGAACAATACCAATACAATGCAAAACATGAGGGGATTGAGGGCCCTGCTCCTTGGAGCTTACAATCTAGGAGGGAGGGGATGGTGGCACAGGAGGAGATAGCTGTGGGGGATGGAGTGGTAGGAAGAGTGGAGGAGGTCGGCAAGTTAGCAGGGGGTGGGGTAGGCTTCCCTGAAGAGATGGGTTTTCAGGGTGTGCCTAAAGGAGACGAGAGTAGGTGATAATCTGATGGGTTGGGGCAGGGAGTTCCAGAGGATGGGTGACACCCTGGAGAAGTCCTGGAGGTGGGCATGGGAGGAGGAGACCAGGGAACTAGAGAGAAGGAGGTCTTGTGAGGAGCGGAGTGTGCGTGTTGGGCGGTACTTGGATATTAGGTCAGTGATGTAGTTCGGGGCAGTATGGTGGACAGCTTTGTACATCAGTGTTAGGATTTTGAATTTGATCCGTTGCGCAATCGGAACCCAGTGGAGGGATTGGCAGAGGGGGGTGGCGGAGATGGAGCGGTTGGAAAGGTGAATGAGTCTGGCAGCCGTATTCAGGATCGACTGAAGCGGGGGATAGCCATAGGTTTTCATTGTGCCCTTTTACAACCTGCCAACTTCTGGCATCCTAACCAATTACATTAATGGATAAGGAGGATGTCTGGTGCCTGCAGAGCAATTCTTGTTTGCCCCCCTTTAATCAGCAGTGGGGTTACATTAGCAGAGTAAGGGAGAAACACTGGAGTACTAGTCGGTACCAGTTTTCAAAGGAATACTTGCTTTGGGAGAATAAATCACCTCTAACGTTGTCCTAAGCGTGTGGATGTTGCTGCGTTATCTAAAACCTTTTGAATGGTTTTTCACACTTTAGAATGGGTTACCTTGGGAATGTGCAGAATGTTAAGGGGTGCCACGAGATTGTCCATAATTTTAAAGGGTGCCTTGACTGAAAAAAGGTTGAGAAACACTGTTTTAATGTGTATTGAACTGGGCCTAGTCTTTAAAACCTCTGTTTTATTTTTTGTTGTGAGCAACCTAATTGGCCAGTGGTGAACGGGTTCTGCTAGTCTGATCCAGCAGTGTGACATCTCATTGGTTTATAGACCGCAACGGGAGCCTTTAGCTCCCATTGCTGTCAAAGCTTGGGGGGGGGGGGGGCTAGCAGAGCCACACTTTGAATCTTATGGGCATACAGGCAGCCCCAGGGAGTGAACACGCATGAGTCCCCCAGAGCAAGTAGCTTGCTATGAGGGTATTTTTGCTGGAGGGGGAGCCAAGAGCATCGGCAGGAGACCCGAGCAGAGGATCGGGACTGCTCTGCAAAACCATTACACAGAACAGACGAGTATGACATGTTTTTGATATTAAGGTATAAAAGATAATAGGCCAATCAAGGCTAATACAATATAATGGTGTAGCGCTAAATACATATAAATAAATGCATATAAATCAAGACATGCAACACACCCCTACCCACAGAATAAAACAGCAGCCCAAAATAGGGGATCAAGTGGTAGTGACACAAGTGATTCCTCTTAGAGGAACATATCACACGTGAAAAAAAGTCCAAACGGTGTGTAAATATTGGTAATAACCTAGTCCTTATATCTTAATGGATGCAGGGACCCAGACTGATGGATGGTGTATATTAAGTGCCACACTCTGCAAGGTGGTATCCGTGAACAGCCAAAGTGCCTCCTCACCTCCTTTATGAGACCACAAGGGTCACCACACTTTGTGGAATATTCACATATATCCCAGGATGGTTATATCGGTAGATGAGCCCCTCTCGTGGTTTGGATATCCCTGCTACTCCTCCACATCCTGTCACCTGGCTCCACTTTGTAACCGATCCCACCAGAAGGTCATAGACAACAAAACAGACCTCCCATAGTGTAATACTGCATAATTTCTTTATTTTTAAAGAAATAAAAATGCCCACTCACATGGAAGATGATTACAGATAACTTAAATCCACTGCTATGGGAATGAACATGTGAATCTAGCTCAGAGATGGCGTCTGCAATGACGTCACTACGCCTCGTCCTGTCGCTAACAATCAAGGCTATTGTTTTCTATCCATGAAGTTAATGGGACTGCAGGTGCTGTTTCCATGCTTTGACAATTACCTGAAGTTGTGCTTAAAAATGGCATTACTGAGGAAGAGCTTATCTGGGTAAATTGGCTGTTCCCTATAGAGCATCCCCACATTCTTTTGAGACTAGCAGAACATAGTCTGGTCATTTGACCATTGGCAAGTTTAAGAAGTTGCGCTCATCCCTAAGAATATACACCCACTGACCACTTTTATTAGGTCCACCTTGCTAGTGCCACCTTGCTCTCTCCCCCCCCCCCCCCCCCCCCCACACACACCATTACACCACCACCAGCCTGAACCATTAATACAAGGCAGGATGGATCCATGCTTTCAGGTTTAAGCCAAATTTTGACTACCATCTGAATGTCTCAGCAGCCAGTCTGTCCTGTCCATTCTCCTCTGACCTCTGACATAAACAAGGCATTTTCTTCCACCCAACTGCCACTCACTGAATATTTTCTTTTTTGGACCATTCTCTGTAAACCTTAGAAATGGTTGTGTGAAAATCCCAGTAGATCAGCAGTTCTTGAAATACTTAGACCAGCCCGTCTGGCACCAACAACCCTGCCATGTTGAAGCCACTTATATCCCTTTTCTCCATTCTGATTGGTTTCAACTCCAGCTAGATGCCTAAATGCAATGAGTTGCTGCCACATTTATCACGCGATTCTCCCATCATTGATTAGAAAATGTGGTGTTTGAAAAAAAAAAAAAAAAAAATTCCAACATGCCAGATCACTCAAATTCGATGATTGCTCTAAAATCTGCTGTTGCTGCGGGCCACTAATGGTGCGAAATTCAAACAAAAATTCTTAGACCTTTTTGAAAAAAATATTTCAGAATTCGACCCATGAATAGGGCTGGCTTTAGTGGCCAAGAATCATGACCGCATGTCACGTGAGTTGAATTACTAAAACCGAGGAGTGCAAAACCTGGTGCAGCTGTGCATGGTAGCCAATCGGCTTCTAACTTCAGCTTGTTCTGTTCAATTAATCTTTTGACAATGAAAGCTGATTTCTGTGCAGAGCTGCACCATATTTTGTGTTCTCCCATTTTAGTAAATCACCCCCACAGTATTCACCGCCAGCATGCAGTGATATCACGTGTCTGGCCCTGCACAACGTGTTTCTCTGTAACGAGTGTCTTCCAGGGAAAAAGGCAATTTATCTAAACAAAACTCATTTTAAATTTTTTTTTTTTTTTTTTTTTTTTTCTGGAGATTTTTGGATATACTCACTTGTACTTCTATTTTTAGGTCCAGAGTCTCCGTATACTCACTGGAAACAGACAGTCTTTTACATGGAAGATTATTTGACTGTAAAAACTGGGGAGGAGATTTTTGGAACAATAAGCATGAAGCCGAATGCCAAGAATAATGTAAGTCACATGTTTCACAGCCAATATTGTATTGTATTGTGCTCTAACTTTTCCCCAAGTCCTCCTCTGGGATGGTCACATGAGGTACCACCTCCTACAGGAAACACAAGCACAGATGTTTTAAAGGGCTGCCCCTCGGTTCTCTCCTTTTTGTCTGCATGTATCAAGCACAACATCCCCTTTTTTTTGTTTTTGATCCCCTCTTGCCACCGCACTGACCGCTAATTATTGCCGCATTACTGATCGGCTCAATGTGCTCAAACACTTTATGGTATCGAGGATCCAGCACTGGTCCACAGTTCCTATTACACTGGTCATCATTTTCACTAGAAACTCGAGCATCCTGGACACGGGTCTTCTTTATGGTGTGATCCAGTTAAAAAAAAAAAAAAAAAAAATGTAAAGTTAAATACTTACAGCAATAAAACAACTTGGCTCATCAAATTCAGCATTTTCCGGCCAAAGTAACAGTGACATACTGCGTCTCACCACATCACCAGGATTTGCATCGCTCTGAGGGTGACAACCTCAGATGAAGTCGGAAGGAGGAGACATCAGGCTATGACTATACAGTAACCAGAAAAAGAGAGGAAGGCGCCTCTAAGTGCAGTATTGACACTATTTAGTAAACAAAGGATAAATTGCACTTACAAGATAAATAGTTAAAGACTCATCGTGTGATCTATTAAGATCCAAAGGGGACATCCAGCAGCAAACTGGATGTCCTCAGTCTGAAGGAGACTATTGAGCATGCTCCGAGATGCATTACTGCCCCCTTCACCTCTTACATCCGACTGCTCTCCCAGCTTCATTTTGATGCACAGGCAGATCCTGGGCTCTACTTCCTGATTCTATAGACAGTTTGCTGCTGGACGGCTGGATGTCCCACCTGGATCTTAATACATCACACGAGGAGTCTTAACTATTTATCTTGTAAGTGCAATTTATCCTTTGTTTACTAAATAAATGGTCTATACTGCACTTAGAGGCACCTTCCTCTTTTTCTTGTTACTGCATTAGAGCCTTGCTTCCGCTCTAAGAGCAGCTGCCTCAGTGTTACTGCTTCCATCCATCCCTGATATCCATCTGGCACCTTTTTCCTACAGCTACAGAGGTTGGGCTCCAACAAGCGCGCCCTATATAATCTACATTTTATGACTGGTGGTGATGCGGTGAGACATAGTATGTCACCTTTTACTTTGGCTGGAACGTATCACTGAATTTAAGCCAAGTTTTATCTCTCTGAGTGTATTTAACTTTTTAATACATTTGTTTACACTGGATCACACTGAGTGTTCTCTGTGTTCCTAGTGGAATTGAAGACCAGATTAAACGGGGGCCGCTGACCAGTGCTGGATCCTCTGCTGCCATAAAGTTTGAGTGCATTAGCAGTGTGTGGTGGCTGATTCACCTAAAGCACAATGGTAGTGTGAACTTCTCAAGGGAACCAGAAGTTGACTTATAAGAAGGACATTTTCATTACTTTTAAGCTGGCCATACACTATATATATATATATATATATATATATATATATATATATATATATATATATATATATATACTTTTAGATTTACCTTTAACTATGTAGTGCAAGAGCCTGCCTAACTGGATACAATTGAAAGTGTTTTTAGGTTTGACCTCCTATTATATGGTTTTTGCGTGCGATTGGCGTCAAGGGGCATAAATTTACCAAATATGCGGCCTCTCTGTGTCTGGGCCTTGACGACGAGCGGCTGCATATACGTGCAATTAGAAATTACATATGTGCTGAGAGCGCACGCCCTGTGCGCTCCCAGCACGTGTCCGACTCTTGGAAAGGTCCCGATCTTCCCTTTTGATCGGGACCTTTTCCGATCGTCGGTGACGATCACAGTGACCCTAAAACCCTGCCTCACGGCTTCTGAAACTTTAAAGGGCCGGGAGGGTAAAGTAAAATTCTCAAGTGTATGGCCAGCCTTGCTATTTGGTTGCACATTTTCTTTAAGTGGGTGGAGGTGGTGATTTCTTGATAGGTTAAGTGCTGCCGGAGTAATGTGGTTCACTCTTGCATGTTGGTGTTGAAATGTACATAACTGTACTAGTCTGATTTTTAAGAAGCGTGGAACACTTGATGTGAGTTAGGATCATATATCTACAGGAATTGAGGAATGCAAAAAGTTCACTTTTTAAAATTGGTTTCATTTGTGAAAGTCTTGGTTTTTAACCAGCCTGTTTTTTTTTTTTTTTTTTTTTTTTTTTCTCCTCCCCACAGCGTGACCTGGACTTTACCATCGACATTGACTTCAAAGGCCAGCTCTGTGAGCTTTCATGTTCTACAGACTACAGGATGCGCTGAAACAAAGAACTGACCGGCCTGATGAAACCCATTATGTATACATTTAGCTGTGTGGTTTTATTTACATATAGCATACACCTTTTTAACCTGTTCTGCTAGCCTGTGAGCAGATAGGTCTTTTAGAATCCCTGACTGTCCCAGCTGCACTAATGGCGTGGACTTACCCTTCAGAAAATGCCTGCAAGGTTTACAGGGAACCTCAGTCAACCTTCTAATCTGTAAATAAAGATCCAGAGTGGATTTTCTAAGACAAGACAGCTGTTGTAAGGCCTTGGCACAGGTTCAATGTTTTACTAGCCATGGCAAGTATCCTCTGAGCCTGTGCTAATGAAGCCTGTGGGCCATCTGTGTACTAAAGTATTAATCCATTCCATCAATGTAGTGGTCCTAGAATCACCTTTTTTGCGCCACCCATAATCATTACTGTCTACAATATTGCTAGCATGTGATGTTATTTTCTGCCCTTGAGAGCTGTCATGTGGCACTAAAATAAAATGGCATTGCTGCCAATATGGAACTCATTTAGTAACCTGCTTTAGCAAAGGAGATGAATAAAGGTATTCCTTTTTGGCAGCGTGGACTATAAATTGGTAATTTTTCTGGTTTGTAAGGAAAGTCTGTCCCACTTGACCACAGCAGATGTGCTCTACAGTGTAGGTGAAAGAACAGTTTCTTAGGCGCTGCCATTTTGTAACTTTTTTTTTGTATGTCCTTTACATGAAAGGGGTTTTGTTTTGTTTTACAAATTCTCAAAGGTTGCTCATTGTGACTGTTTTCATAAGTTATGGTTTTTATATGGTTACATTCATAATGAAATTAAAAAAAAAGTGAACTGTGACTTGGTGTGTTTTTTCTCTTGTTTGCTTGAAATGGCAACCTTGGCGGTTTACAGTTGTGCTCAAGTTTGCATACCCTTAGAGAAATGGTAATATGTATCCTTTTTAGAGCACCTGAGCAGAGAAAATGCATTTTTTTTTTTTTCCCCTCATGAGATTCATATTTTGTAACTGTAGGTCATACCACACATGGTACAATCAGAAATCATGGCAGCAAGTAAACGATTGAAATACCCCGTTCAAAAGTCTGCACCCACTTAGTTCCTAATTTTGTGTATTACCCCTTTAGCATCAATGACAGTGCACGTGCTTTTGTAATGGTTGTCAGAGTTGTGACAATCGCGGTGTCAGACCCCAGCCCTTCTCACCAACTTGTGACCAAAGGACTAGCCAATCTAAAACCGCGCTGTCACGTGCGTAAAAATGCCACGCTCAGCTGCACCCTGCACAAAGATTTTCCAGCTAATGGACCACAATCTATGTACCTGCAGCCTGAGAGCGATTGTTACTGGGTCAGGTTAATTACACAATCCTTTACACTGCCACCACCTTTTTTTTTTTTTTTTTTTTTTTTTTTTTTTTTTGTAGAGAAAAGGAGGAAACTCGCCAATATTAGCAATAACACTGATGTTTGAATAATTGTATACACACTGTCACTGCAGGCAGAGGTATATAGAGGTTTAAAAACATACAGTAGCGCTCTTCCGAGACAGGGATTCTTAGTTTGCATTAAAGAGCTTCAGAAACAGTTCAACACTTTTCAGATAATAGGATTTATAACTAAAATTGTGCAATAAAAATATTTACAGAAAGATGTAGCGCGCGCACACACGATAACAAAAGTTTAGAGAGGTAGAATACTTTCGGTCAGCCTTGGCTTAAGCAGATCAAGTTTCCTGAACAAAAGGGAGATCTCTTCAACTTAACTTCTCCAAGCATAACAGCCTTTTTTTAGGAACTCAGCAGGGTGTCTCCTTAAAGCAGAGAAACAATCGCCTCATTTGGGGAGGAGTGTTGTAAGCGGGGAACTCAGGCTATGACCAAATCCCTCCCAAGTTACACCATGGTCAATAACCTTCTCTAGGGACATGTAGCAGCCTAGCCACTAGTAGATTAATATGCAGAACAATATTCTGAACGTCCAGACATGAAATATGGCATATTTCACTATTCCATTTAGATCTATATGGCTTTCTGCTCTCCTGTAGACTTCCACTAGGGGTGTAAGATATCGGACGACTCGCATTAAACTGAGCTATCCGAATAGATACTTGCTTATCTGATAATTATTTCCTATTTTAAGATATGAAATTATATGGGAAAGTGGGTTTTAAATGTGATGTCTGTTTTACGGCTATCTTGGAATGCGTTTTGAAGTCCAGTGAAGGACTGGTTTATGGCTTTACGATTATCTCAGATTGAGAAGCTAACAGACACCCGGGCATCAGCTAATTTGGGATTTATAACCATGATGCTGTGCCTGTGCACTTCTGAACCCAGCACACATGGACCACGTGTTGCTCAACAGAGAGGGAGGGGGGAGCTAATTTGGAGTAGAAATGATACAAGATAGAGGGTCTTTGGCAAAATGGAGGTTCGCATCCATCTCTGTACGTACAATTGCTACAGGAGGCCCTCCAAATTCTTCCAGATTGTCTAGCTTGCCCATTCCTCTTGGCAAAATGACTCCAGTTCATGCAAAGTCTTCGGTTGTCTTTCCTGACCACATGCTGATTGCAGCTCCTCAGACCGAAGGGATCTCCACAGCAACACGAGAGGGTGCCAATCTGGGTGTAGCATACAAATACTAGTTTATAAGCATACAAGTGGTAACTCCTAGATTGTAAGCTCGAAAGAGCAGGGCTCTCGATCCCCTCATGTTTTGCATTGTATTGGTATTGTTCTGTCACATGTTCTGTCCCCCTTTGTAATGTACAGCGCTGAGCAAACTATCGGTGCTTTATAAATACTGTATAATAATAACTCCCATTTGGGCAGTATACATGCGAATATCACTCCTATGGCTGCTGTTACCACTGGATCTAGGAGTATGGCAGGGGATGTGGCTAATGTGACTTCATACTCTGACTTCTGCTAATGTCTTGGATTCCTTTGGTGTGAATCTGAGGTCAAGTTCAGGCAGCAATACTATGCTTGCTGCTTACCTCAATCTGTTTTGGACTATGCATGTTACCTGGGACTAAGCTTGCTTGCTACCTGAACCTGAACAGCTCCAGGATTGTTACCTGGACTGCCTATGCTTGCTGGGTGCTGCCTGATTTTTTTTTGACCTCAGATTGTTACCTGGACTAAGCTTGCTTGCTACCTGAACTGACCTTGAACCAGCTCCATATGATTGTGCTACCAGCTGCTGTCTACTGCCTAATCAGCCTAGACTATACACATTTTATTCCCTTTGTAGAGGAGAGGCAGAAAAGCTGGTCACACAAAACCCCAAAAATGGGCTGGCTCCCCTTAAAATATTTGGTTGCACAGCCATGCCCCATTTTTTTTTTTTGGACCACTCTTCCTTTGCAAACAGTGCTGACCTCACTTTTAAGATCCAGCTGGAGCACTCATTGTGGCCACTTCAGAACTCTCCAGCGCTTCTTTGCCATCCATTTCTGAGTGCTTTTTGACGTATGTTTGGGGTCCCTGCTGGACAACTGGCTTTCTGATTCCTACAGTGCGACATGCATGATCTTGCCACAGTCAAGGCACCCAGCAGCTCCCCAAAACATTGTTCCTGATTGATTTCCGTTTTCGGTAAACAGATCTCCCGAAAAGGGTCTCATCTGCCCAAGACGCCATTTTGGCTTACTCCATTTTGGAAACTGTAGTCTTGCTTTTTTATGTCTCTGTGTAGCAGTGGGGTCCTCCTGGGTCATAGCGTCGACGGATAGTTCGCGCTGACACTGATGCTCCCTGATGAGTGATATGTGCTTATGTATCTTTGCCTTTCAAATGTGAGTTAGCTGCTTGGGTTGCATGGTGTGGATTTTCTCTGGATATTGCTATACTCAGATTGACAGTTCTCCCTCTTGCTTGTGTTCAATGAACAAATGCATCTGAAACTAAAATCTCCAGAGTGCACATGTCTAAATCTTTTTGAATGAAGGACTGTGTCTCCTGGGATGTGGCGTGCATTGTGTGCATCATTCAAGTAAGCGAGTAATGAGGGGGGGTGCACATGGAAATTGCGTTTTTTTTTTTTTTTTTTTTTCTTTTTTTTAACTGCCTGACTGCCCTTGTATAGCAGAAAATACTACAGGGCGACACGGAATGCACAAAACCAAAGTGTAAACATGTGTGTGTTAATACGTTTCGATTTGATTTCCTGGAGAAATATGTTGCCAACAATTTCGGCCATGACTGTATATGCTTAGGGGCTCCCTCTTGCTTGTGTTCAATGAACGTGCGCTGCCACTAAAATCACCGGGCACCTGTCCAAATCTTGATTACCGACTGTGTCTCTGGGGAGTACTAATGGGGGCGCACTGGAATTGTTTTTTTAACAGTTCTCTGCCCTATCAGAAATACTACAGGGCGACAGGCTCATTGCCTTTACGGTGGCTGTGCACAGCCATCCTGATTACAGGGGGAGGACTGGTTTTTGTTTACTAACAGTTCTCCCCGAAGCTCAGGCACCTTTGGGTGACATGGCCCCATCCTGAGTAAAACACACTCCCTAGTAAAACACTCCCTGCACACAGTTAACCCTTTGATCGCCCATCTTAATCACTTCCTGCCCAGTGCCATTAGTAGTGTCAGTGCTTTTATTTATTTTAGCACTGATCCCTGTATTGGTGTCATTGACCCCTGGTGTCAGAATGTCTGCCGTAGTCCCGCTGATTGCTGCCATTGCTAGTAAAAAAGAAAAACAATTCCAGTATCCCGCCATTTGTAAATGCTATAACTTTCACATAAACCAATTAATTTACACGTATTGGGATTTTTTTATAGCAAAGACATGTAGCGGAATACATTTTGGCCTAAATGTAAAAAAAATTTCAGGGTGTTTTTTTTTTTTTTTTATTTTTTTTTAATAGCACAGGTGATCAAATACCACCAAAAAGCCCCATTCATGGGGGGGGGGGCAAAAAGATGTAAATTTCATTTGGGTGCAGCGTTACTTTAACTGATTACAGTCATGCAACGGTGCCGTAATGCAAAAAAATGGCCTGGTTTAGGAAGGACTGGGGGAGGGGTAAATCCTTAGGAGGGCAAGTGGTTAGGTAACTGCTATTCATGTAGCAAACCCCCAGTGCTATTAATGTAAAAAGCCCATAAAAATTAGAAATGATGGCTTTGAAAAAACAGCTGACCTTTCACGACCCCTTGGGTGTAAGGCAGGTCAAAAATTATGCTTCCCCCCCTGCAACCTCTGGTTTCAGGAGAGGAAATCCCCATCAAAAGTGTTGATAGGGGAATCCCTCCCCCAGAGCTTTTGTGGTTTCTCCTGGGAGAACCCAATGATTACTGCTAGTGGCTAAAGCTGCAGGTGCTAATCCAATGCTAAAACTGCAACAGGCTGGTTGTACTTAGATTGACTTGGGTACAGCCAGGGGCGAACTGTCAACTTATGGGGCCCCTGTATCCTTGCCCACACTCAAACCACACCCAAAAAAGCCTATGAAAGGTACTAGGGGCATCTCAGGGCGGCCCCCTACTGACCCTGGGCTCTGAAAGGTCAGTTCACCCCTGGGTACAGCCCATGCTGAACCAGCCGAGATTTGACCGCAGTCTGTCTGGTTCCGACGTTAATGAGCACGCTCCATGCGAAAGACCCTCAAATGGAGCTAGAATAGGACCCCTGTCCACAGAGGGCCACCCAACAATTCCTTTGCCTTTCAATGTCCAGTCATCCATTTTTTCTAGGGAGAACCATCCTTTTTTTTTTTTTAAATCCATTTTTGTCCATTTCCCATCCGCTTACATCTGTTTTTGTCAGTTTTGAGAAAAAAAAAAAAAAACTTTGACTTTGCTATTAACCATTTCAATACCGTGCAATTTTACCCCCTTCCTGCCCAGGCCATTTTTCACATTTCAGCGCTCTCACACTTTGACAATTGCGCGGTCATACAACATTGTACCCAAACTAAAATGTTATTTTCTTCAGACAACTAGAGCTTTCTTTTGGTGGTATTTAATCACCGCTGGGGTTTTTATTTTTTGCTAAATTAACAAAAAAAGACCAAAAATTTTGAAAAAAAACCCACGTTTTTCTTTGTTTCTGTTATAAAAGTTTACAAATAAATAATTGTTCTTCATAAATTTAGGCCGAGATGTATTCTGCTACATGTCTTTGGTGAAAATAACCCAAATTAGGATGTATTATTTAGTCTGTAGGAAAGTTATAGAGTTCACAAACTATGGTATAGATCTGAATATTGATCAATCCTGAAGTACTGACAGCCAATCTAATTTATTGAGGTCCAAGAACGTCAGAACAGTACAGATATATCCAAATGACCCCTTTTTGCAGAGTAGACAGTCCGACGTACTTCATAAGAGGCATGGCGAGTTTTTTGAAGTTGTATTTTTTTTTGTCAATTTTTTGGAAAATTTAAAATTATTTTCACTTTTTTTTACATATTGTCACCAGTGCAGTACAGCGTCATTATAACTGGCATGGCGGTGAACAGGGACACTGACTGACAGTATGGGAAAAAAAAATATTTTTATTTTTTTTTTTTTCAGATTTTTTCATATTTTACTATGTCCAAAGTAGTACAATGTTACCATAGTAACATTGTACTACTTTGGGGGAAGTGATCAGTTTTTTTTTTTTTTTTTTTTTTTTTTTTTTTACACAATTTGCTATTGTGCAAAAAAAAAAAAAAAAATATTGTAATTCTTTGCTATAAGCAAGCATTTACCTGAATGACATTGATTCATTCAGGTTTTTTTTTTTTTTTGTGCTTAGCTGTGATTTGGTCACAGCTAATCACATGACATGTGCATGTGATTAGCTGTGACCATTCACAGCTAGGCAGTAGTATACAATGGATGGCATGAATGAAGCCATCCATTGTATACAACTGTCATGTGACCTGCTGTGATTGGTCACATGGTACCAGCAATGGGGGCCGGTACTCAGATCTGTCATTGGCCGTGTCCGAGGTACACGGCCGGTGACAGATCGCGCCGCTGCGAGGCTGTGTATTAGCGTAAACTGCGCATGTGCGGGTGCACGCCAAATGGCATGCACCCGGAATGCCAAAGCACTTTTGAAGCCGCCAAACGGCCATTGGCCGGGTGGCTAATGGTTAAACCTGTCCAGAAAAAAAAATTTCCTCATAAATTTACACCAAAATGTATTCTGCGGCATGTCTTTGCTAAAGAAAAAAAATCCCCAATGCGTGTAAATTAATTGGTTTACGTGAACGTTATAGCATTTACAAATGGCGGTATACTGGAATATTTCTTTAAATTTTTTACTAGTAATGGCAATGATCAGCGACTTAGAGTGGGACTGCGGTGGACAGTCTGACTCGGGGGGGGGGGGGGGGGGGGGGGGGGGGGGAGAAGAGAAACTGACTTGGTGTCACTGACACCACTACAGTGATCAGTGCAGGGGGGAACACACTGTACTAATGGCACTGCATGCAGGGTCCAGGGAGACCAGATATAGCGAACGCAAGGGTCCGGGGAGAGCGGATTATATCGCGAACGCGAGGGTCCGGGGAGAGCGGATTATATCGCGAACGCGAGGGTCCGGGGAGAGCGGATTATATCGCGAAAACGCGAGGGTCCGGGGAGAGCGGATTATATCGCGAACGCGATGGGTCCGGGGAGATTATATCGCAAACGGAGGGTCCGGGGAGAGCGGGATTATATCGCAAACGGGGGTCCGGGAGGAGCGGATCCGGGAGGGTCCGGGGAGAGCGGATTATATCGCGAACGCGAGGGTCCGGGGAGAGCGGATTATATCGCGAACGCGAGGGTCCGGGGAGAGCGGATATAGTGAATGCAGGGTCCAGTAACAATAATTCTCCCACTGGGAGACTTGTAGGTGTTAGCCCCGGTCACACCGATCCCGACTTTGAAATAGTGCGATTTACAGTGAAGTCGCACTATTTTAAACGTTGGAATGTCATGCCGATTTTGGGTGCAAGACCTCTAACACAGATGTCTATGCAAATCGCACCAAAAGTAGTGCATGCGCTACTTTGGAAATCAGTGCAGTTTTGACCATGTCAGAACTGCACCGATATGACCGCTGTAATTGCGTACAATAGGGTGTGATTTGGCATGTAATTTTGCCAGTCTCACCCTGTGCGGCCGGGGCCTTATGGACAATACAGCTTCTCAGACACTTATAAATGAGTTCCAATTTTCAGTCTCTTTAAGCAAAGTTGGAGAATTCAGCAGCAGACAAATATATTTTTATTAAGTCAACTTGTACAATACTTCTACACCATAGTTTCCATGATCTAGAGATCTCGGCCGCATTGCCCCTGCTCTAGTAATAGTATTCATGTACCCTCTATTAAGTAGGTATGAGGGCTGTCCTTGCTTTAGCGTTCCTCACTATGCAAGGAATCTTTCACTTTTCTAAGGGTGCGTAATTCAGCAGCTTCTCAATCAGATCTACATGAGAAAGCAACATCCGCCGGCAACAGTACCGCTTCAGTCCCAGGGCATCCAAAGCATCCCTACAACACAGAAAGGTTGAGTTAGATGGAGGTTTATGAGACTCAGCAACACAAATCAGCTTAACTCCTTCCCAACGGCTGCACGCATATATGCAGCCTCTTAGCAGGTGAGCCCTAATGGCAAGAGGCCGTATACGCGCTCTCCCAGCTTCTAAACCCCCCCCCCCCCCCCAAAAAAAAAAAATACAAAAAAAAAAAAAAGCGTATTCCCTTGGCGCACTGGCGCCAAGGGGATACGCTTCTGTGAAAAAAATGAATTCTAATCTGGAAAATTAGAATTTTTTTTTCTTTTCTGTTTCCAATCCTGCACAGTTGTTGGGACCTCCCTTCCGAGTCACTCCATGTCTCTGCACCCTACCCACCTCCAAGCGCCATGTGTTAGTTCTACCCCCATCTACCTCCCACTACTGTCCCTTTTAGAGAAAACAACCAAGCAGGGGCGGACTGACCATTTGGAAACTTGGGGCACTGCCCGAGGGCCCAGGGTCAGTAGGGGGCCCCATGAGATGCCCCTGGTACCTTTTTCATAGGCTTTTTTTTGAGTTTGGGGCAAGGACACAGGGGCCCCATGATCCCCTATTGCCCAGGGGCCCCATCAGTTCAACCCTGTAACCAAGTATGCCTTTGTGGTGCTTGCGAAATAATTTGTATGGAATTTAATGATAGCAATAACAGCAGCAAAATAGATCCCTGTAGCCAAAAAAAAAAAATGACACCCACCCTCCCCACAGCAATAATAGACCCCCAGTGAAAATAGATCTCCCCAGCAACAATCGACAGCCCACTATAAAATATCCTCACAGCAACAATAGATCCACCCCAGGAACTATAGCCCCCACCAGCAACAATAGATTCCCCCCTCAACAGTATATCCCTTCCAGCAACAATTGGTCTAACATAAGACATCAAATTTGCAGCAATAGACACTCTCTCAACAAAACATCCCAGCAGCAAGCATCAAAAGACCCTCCAGCACCACTTATTCATTGCTGGAGCTGATAGAACTGCATTCCCCCTGAAGAAAAAAAAAAAAAAAAAAATGCCCTGCTTACTTGGTGCATTAGTCGCATGTTATTACAAAAATCCAGTTCACAAATATGATTTGAGTTTGAAATCATTTTAGAAAGCAAAACATGTTTACAAGCTTGTTTTTTTTATATCCAATTAAAAATAATATTTTACAATGTCTATATCTTTAAGATGTGTTATTCCTGTTTATCTTGGTTTTCCCCGTTTCCAGTTTCATGGGATTGCATGCAAGGGTTGAAGAAGGTGCAATAACTTCAAAAACGCATTGTTCCTCTTCTACGATTCACCTTTGATACAGGTTTTATGTATGGTCTTTTCAGTTTGGTCAATTATGTTCTCATTATTGCTTGGGTCCTTGGAGACATTTTATTTCTCACTTCCGGTACAAGATGGCACCAGTCAACAGTAGAGTTGAGTTAGTGTTGTGCCCAGACCCCCTGATGGGCCCCTGTTTGTCCCAGGTTTCCAATTAGGTGCACAGGAGCCAGGCACACGGTAGCTTCCCAGTCTCTTGACACAATAAATCAGGCAGCACATATCTTTATGAAGTGTAATGCTGAATAAATTTGGTTGGGGTGTAGGGGGAGCCTTGGGATACTTTCTGGTAGTAATTAAACTAAGGATGAACCTCCCTCTTGTAACAGAAGGTAGTGGACATTCAGCTTAGGGGACCCCCTCTTTGGAAGCAGCCCTAAGCCAGCAAATCTGGAGCTGTCTCTCTAAAGTCAGACAGTACCACACCAGTCTCTCTAGGAGATCTCAGGTCTCTACTCACTTGTCCCTGGATGCCTCCTTCCAGTACCAGCCAGACCCTGTACCATGAGCCTCCAGGCCACATCCTCAGTAGACTTTCTCCCAACTGTTCTCAGCAGCTTTAGAAGTAGGCCTCCCCACCTCTCCCTGAGTTGGGACCTCCTTGATACTCCTGAAGTTTTCAGCCAATCTGTCCAGATGGCTAGGTCTCACCAGACAAAGACCCTGCTGTTCCAGGCCCCATGCTATTTATACACACCCCAACCCCCTGCTGGTCACCCCTTCAACCTGGGATTTGCTGCGGCTGTATGAATATTCACCCCAGGGTCTGCCTCACCCAACCCACTATATTCTAGAATCTACTAGAAACAGAGGGGAACAGTTGAGCCTGCGACCATCAGGACTGTTCTGTCCTTGCTACACATTTCCCTGTGTGTAGCTCGACATGCATCTAAACCCTATTCCGCACTAAGCCAGCCTGAAATGTGATCTTAAAAGCTTTATTAGAAAAACATGGTGGGGTGAAACTTTTTGGAAAAACAGATAAACATATAAAATCAATATATGAAACATACAAAATATGGTAAAATGATTAGGCTGTAGATGGCAATAAGTCCATGCTCACCAGCGCTGCTTTCTGCAGGGTATGTAGATTTAGTCTACAACATGTGCTCCAATGGCTGGTTCCTACACTCAATTTCTAAGATTGAGTCTGAGCCCCCAGGATGCATCTGTCTCTCAGAATGATGGGAATTTTTATTAACTCTTATCTCTTCTCTAAACAGTCTATTTGCTATATAAAACAGTAAATTTATTGCAGAATCTAGTGATGGAATATATTATTGCATAATGAATTTCTCTGCTGGAGGCAGAACAAGCCAGGTGTAGTATTCACCAAGGTCTTACCCTTCTGTATATTCAGCCTGAAGAAGGCCCAAGTACGCTTCCCATTTATTTCCAACAACTTTCCCACATGTAAAGCATCTCACGGGGATGATCATCTTGTGCTAGAGATTGACCTGGAGACAACAGAAAAATAAATGTTCTATTCCAAGAATCAATTTCATTTTAATAAATTGAAAAAATTTTTACATCATGGTTGGCCCTAATGACTGATAAAGAACCTCCAAGAAATATAAACAAGTTTAAGTGCCATACTCACAGACCCTAGTACTGCCAAACGGAAGTGCTCACCATTTAGTCACCGCTTCATTTATTTATTTCAGGTACTTGTATAGCGCCATCAATTTACACAGCACTTTACATATATATTGTACATTCACATCAGTCCCTAACCCTCAAGGGGCGTACAATCTAAGGTCCCTATAACTTCCATTCATACAGACACAGACTATGGTCAATTTTAGACTGGAGCCAATTCACCTACCAGCATGTCTTTGGAGTGTCGGTGGAAACCGGGAGTACCGGAAGGAAACCAACGCAGGCACAGGGAGAACATGCAAACTCCAGGCAGGTGTTGCTGTAGTTGGGTTTTGAACCAACGACCCTAGTACTGCAAGGCGGAAGTGCTAACCATTTAGCCACTGTGCTGCCCAGCTTCATTTGACCCTCCATCCTAGATTGTAAGCTCTTATGAGCAGGGCCCTCAGATTCCTGCTGTATTGAATTGTATTGTCTGCCCTCAGGTATTAAAGTTGGAGTAGACTCATTTTTGTTTTGTACCTACAGGTAAGCCTATAATAGAACTTACCTGTAGGTACTGTAAATATCTCCTAAACGTACACCGATTAGGAGATATTTACCTGTGTAACCACCAGTGACATCACCGGCGCTCTGGAGGAATGGCATACCCGTGCCCTGTGCCATAAACAGTAACTCCTGTGTTGATGCGGAGTGAAGTCAATGTAGCTCGGCCAAGTGACTGAAGCCAGCAAACCTGGAAGAAGCCCAGGTGAAGCTGGAGTGACCAGGTTCAAGTCTTTCAGCTTAGGGTTGCTTATGTGAGATGGGGAAAGAGCTCTCATTGTTGGAATACGGCTTGTGTGGAGTAAATTAAATGTTTTGACTGACATTCTGCGGTTTAGCCACAAGATGTCACTTTTTCTAACACAGCCTCAGACTGCATAGATATTTTATATTTATGAAGAGAGAGAGAGAGACCATGTTTTTGGAGCATGGTGAATAAGGGGCCTGTGAGCTGAGAATCTGATGACATCCAGGTGTGAAAGCATCCCTCCGTAACCAGAGCTGCAGCTAAGTGAAGCTGATGAGATTGCTGCCAGAAAGGCTGATGAGAGCAGAGGAACTAAGCAACATATACGGCGAGACCGCATGCTTGTTGGAGAGACATTTGTTCTGTTCAGAGTCACCAGCGGATGCAAAGCAGACCCGGGTCGGTAAGATCGTGCACGCACCTCATTTCAGTGTTGGCGCCTTGAGACCGAGTCCAGGCCTATAGTTAGTTAGTGTCTCTGTTTGTGTCAGGCCACAAGTGTTGTTACTGATCATTGGAAGGACTCCACAACTTAAAGTGACATTTCACATTGGAGAGCTGATACAATCCTACAAACTCAAGCCAGACTGGCGTTTTGCTCAGAAGGAACACTCAGGCACGTGCTACAGGAGCAGTTATGGGAGGGGGAATACTGTAGATTTGTGTAAGATTGTAAGCTGTTGTGCTGCACCACAGACTAGCCCATACCGTACACCCATACACTGATTCTTGTTCTTTTAGGGTAATAACAGGTAAGGTGTGGCAGCTTAGTTGTGCCCCCCAGTAGGTAAATTACTTCACTTTCTACCTTCATCCATCAGAGGGCGCCGTGCTGTGCAGCACAAGGGTCTCAGCTTTTGGGCTGGGTGTATGTAAATTTATTGTATGTTCCCAGCATTTGTGGTTGTGTTTGCCACATCGAAGTAAAATTCTGTTGTGGCAAAAGCGGGTGTTGGGGTTGCTTTCCTCGTTCGTGACTTCACTGTATCCTGGGGAGCCCACCCCGGTACACTGCTTACACTTATAGGGCAAAAAAATTAAAAAAAACAAAAATACGTGCTGTAAGAAGCTTACTTATATTGACTTTTCTGGTGGTCCACTTATGGAAAAGCCACTCATTGTCCCCCTCTGCTCTGAGGGTTTGAATATGTGCTCCACAGACTCATTGTGGTTTCTCCTGACAGCTTATACGTCATTAGGGGACTACCTTAATTTTTCTCTCTTGTATATCATTTATGCAGCTGCTGGCTTCTGTCCCCATCTGCCACCTGTCAGACCTGTAGCACAGAGCCACGTCTGAAAGGCCTGCTTGACTCTGAGGTCTGACAGGTGAGGGCAGAAGCCAACAGCAGCATAAATGACATCTAGAAGAAAAAAATGCATGGGTGGTGGCAGAGATAGGACCTGGAGCAGAAGCCACGCAATAGGGTTGATTTACTAGAAGAAAATGTTTGGGTGGTGGCAGAGATAGGACCTGGAGCAGAAGCCACGCAATGGGGTTGATTTACTAGAAGAAAATGTTTGGGTGGTGGCAGAGATAGGACCTGGAGCAGAAGCCACGCAATGGGGTTGATTTACTAGAAGAAAATGCATGGGATGGTGGCAGAGATAGGACCTGGAGCAGAAGCCACGCAATGGGGTTGATTTACTAGAAGAAAATGTTTGGGTGGTGGCAGAGATAGGACCTGGAGCAGAAGCCACGCAATAGGGTTGATTTACTAGAAGAAAATGCATTGTGGTGGCAGAGATAGGACCTGGAGCAGATGCCACGCAATGGGGTTGATTTACTAAAGGCAAATAGACAGTGAAAGTGCAGTTGCTCCAGAGCTTAGTAAATGAGGTAAAGCTTCCATTTACCAAGAATACCCAATCACCCGGTGTGACCGGGGTGTAAGACTTGTGATTTAACCTTGCATTCCTGGGCGCTCAAGTCGCAGCAAAGTCTCAGAAAAGTAGTGGAACTTGTTTTGTCGCTGCGACTTGACTCAGATTGATTAGGATGGCACCCCATGAAACTAATGTGTTTTGACTTGTCCTGTGACTTTATGAGGTGGATTTACTTAAACTGGAGCACTCAGAATCTGGTGCAGCTGTGCGTGGGAACCAATCAGCTTCTAGCTTCAGGTTGTTCAGTTAAGCTTCGGCAATAAAACCTGAAAGCCGATTGGTTCCTATGGAGAGCTGCACTAGATTTTGCACTCTCCAATTTTAATAAGTCAACTCCTATGTGTTGCAAGTCACAGCAGTGTGAACCGGGGATAAGCGACTCCAGAACAGAGGTCTCCAAACTATGGCCCTCCAGCTGTTGAAGTACTACAAGTCCCATCATGCCTCTGCGAGTCTTGCCTGTGGCTGTCAGTCTTGCAAGGCCTCATGGGACATACAGTTCAACACCTGGAAGGTCATAGTTTGGAGACCCCCTGCTCCAGAATAAAGACTAGGGGCCACATGGCATAGTGTAAATGATGTAATGTATTTTTCCCTCCATAAGACGCACCTAGATTTTAGAGTAGGAAAACAAGAAAAAAAAAAAAAAAACACAAATTCTGAACCAATGGACTGCGGACAGTGCAGGGGGTGACCAGAGGCCGCGGGCACGGTACAGGGGGTGACCAGAGGCCGCGCACACGGTACAGGGGGTGACCAGAGGCCGCGCACACGGTACAGGGGGTGACCAGAGGCCGCGCACACGGTACAGGGGGTGACCAGAGGCCGCGCACACGGTACAGGGGGTGACCAGAGGCCGCGCACACGGTACAGGGGGTGACCAGAGGCCGCGCACACGGTACAGGGGGTGACCAGAGACTGCAGAACTTCAGGGAGCGGGTACCCGAATTTGACAGGTACCTGTTCCCACTTCCACGGAGTTGTCCTCCCTCCCCGTAGTCTTGTGGGACACGTGACAAGTCCCAGAAGACTACGGGGCCATTCACAAAGCACAGCGCTTCTCGCACATGTGCAGTGGGCACCCAGCTGTGGAGCCGCAAGCTGTCACATCTAGGTGCCCACACTGAAGACGGTCACTGAAAGCAGGACACCGCTGGACCGAGGACCAGGTTCTTCTACACGAGTGGCCGGCCCGGTATTCTAACACAGTAGCGGTGACGGGTTGAATACCGGGCCGGCTGCTCCTTAAGACAAAACAATTTTCCCCCATTTTTTGGGGGGGGAAAAAAAAAAAAAAAAAAAAAAGTGTCTTATGGAGTGAAAAACAGTACATTTGAACATGCCAGGTAAAATTAGATTGAACATATCAAAAGTCTGAATCTTAATTACATAGCACGCTTAAACAATATTCCTTTCCTCCAAAAATACTCCATACACTTCTACTACTTAATGGTCCTGTAATTAATTTTTCATGAAAATTATTTTTGGCGTGTTTGGCCTCTTTGTAGTGTCCTCCTTGAGCTCCTGAACCTCTCCTTTGCCCCCTCCTTACTTGTTTAGAATGGTTAGTTGTGGTCATGTACACTGCTCTATGCACACTACAAATCCCATTAACAGAAGTGAGCAAGAGGGTGGCTACGTTCCTACATACAGATGGCCATGGAGAACAGATGTAGCCACCCTCTAACACAGGGGTGGGCAAACTTTTTGACTTGAGGGCCGCAATGGGTTCATATATTGGACCCGGGGGCCGGACCAAGAGTAGATGAATGATGTGTATGTGTCATCCATAGTAAGTATAGTAATATTCCCCCATAGTAAGCATAGTAATTAATCCCCCCCTATAGTAATTCATCCCCCCCCCTATAGTAATTCATCCCCCCCCTATAGTAATTCATCCCCATGTCCCCCCTGTGTCAATTCACTTACCTTTGCTCCGCGCGTTCCTCTTGCCGTGTCCCGCGCCGTTCCGGTGTAGCATGAAAATCTGTCTCCTATGAGGATCTGTCCCCCTCGACGTATCTGCGCATGTGCCAGTTTCAGGCATTAGCAGCCGATCGGCGATCTCCGGCACATGCGCAGATACGTCGAGGGGGACAGATCCTCATAGGAGACAGATTTTCATGCTACACCGGTCTTCAGGGCGGACTGTGAGAGGAG